TTAGCTTTGAATTTGGCTTGGGTTTACCTTGAATTGTGTTTTGGTTTTTGGATTGGGTAGCCGCGAGTTCCCCTGCAGAATTTCTTCTTCTCTGCCGCCGGCTTCTCCCCCCTGCTAGGCTCGGTTTTGCTTGCTAAATTCTGGTAAGTTGCCGACTTTTCCAAGCTTAAAATTACCCATTTAATTGCTGGGTTTTGTCCATTAGTTGATGCTCTGTGTTGTCCGAATCTGCTAGGATAGGGGATGAATTTGGCAGCCCTTTTAAATGTGTTTTAAGCTTGATTATGTAGAATTTAGCTTGAAATAACTGCTGTGATGTTTTGTGTGAGAAATTCCGGGTGTGAGTGTGGTTTTTGCAGAGCCATTTTCTCCATTTATCTATCCCGGGAGTTGGTAGCTTAAGTGGGTTTTTGTTTAATTTAAGTGGAAATTAGCTTGAATTGGGTTGTTGTGATTTTGGAGTGAAATCCCGTGAGATTAGTTATTGTTTCGCCAATTTCGGAAGTTGAAGTTACTGTTCACGGGTACTGTTCATAGGTACTGTTCACACACCGAGTGTTAACGATTAACGGGGATTTAAAGGTTTAGTTTGTGATATAAGAATGAATTTGGAGACATCCGGTTATGTGGAGATTGATAGAAATAGCACTATGATTAGGGGTAGTGCTAATGATGATTTTACTTGAATTTGTGGTTGTGCGGTATTAATGGTGGAATATTGTGATTAGGTTTTGATCGTTCTGTCACCGTGGCACTTGGGTTAGCCTTTTGTTCTGTGCGAGTGAGATAAGTAAATTATGGTAAAGCCCTTTGATTTTAAAGCATGTTTTAAACTGTTTTTGAGATGGTGGCAAGCTTTAAACTGATTTTATCAGTATTTAAGTATGATTAAACTGAAATGTAAATTGTGATGGTTTTTATGAGAATTTCATTGTTTTCTGGAATTGAGCATGATTGGAATGAAAATGGGAATTTCATTGTTTTGAGTAGAGCATGCCTATTTGGAATTGACTGAATTGTTTTGATGAACTGAGAGTTTTGTAAATTATGATTTTCTGTTAAATCCATGCCCACTTGGAATTTTCTGGTTATTTCTGAAATTTGGGATTTCGATTGTGAATTTAGGATTTTGATTGTGAATTACGGATTTCGATTGGGAATTTCATATTTTTTTGTAAATCCTGCATGGTTTTGTCTCTGATATAGTCATGATTTCCGATCCCCACTAGTGGGTGTGTAGCACTTCCGATCCCCGCTAGTGGGTGTAACGCTAGCACTTCCGATCCCCGCTAGTGGGTGTGTTGCACTTCCGATCCCCGCTAGTGGGTGTAACGCTAGCACCTCTGATCCCCGCTAGTGGGTGTAACGCTAGCACATGTCGACATGTTTACTGATATGACGCCTGCCACTGGGCGAATACATTGGCACATTCTGACGCCTGCCACTGGGCGAATACATTGGCAAATTCCGACGCCTGCCACTGGGCGAATACATTGGCAAATTTCTATCGCTTGCCAGTGGGTTGTTATAACACTGGCCATGACTTATAGATGAGACTAATGAACTGAATTTGATTCTGCATTAACGGTTTTGTCATGAAACGTTTTGTTATTGAACTGAATCTGATTTTGCATTGATGGTTTGTCAGGAAACGTTTTGCTATTGAACCGAATTTGATTTCCGCATTAACGGTTTATCAGTGAAAGTTCTGTTATACTTACATGGTTTATCTGGCATG